AGGTATAAAAGGAAAATCTTTCCACAGACATTTCACTGCTCTCCAATGATAATGATACCGCTATGTTCACAAAGATTATAGAAAATCAGACTTGCTAAACAGATATTGTGTTCTATTTATCTATTTATTTATTTATTTATTTATTTATTTATTTATTCATTTATTCATTTATTTATTTATTTATTCATTCATTCATTCATTCATTCATTCATTCATTCATTCATTCATTCATTATTCATTCATTCATTTATTCATTCATTCATTCATTCATTCATTTATTTATTCATTCATTCATTTATTTATTCAGTCATTCATTCATTCATTCATTCATTCATTCATTTATTTATTCATTCATTCATTTATTTATTTATTCATTCATTCATTTATTTATTCATTCATTCATTCATTCATTCATTTATTTATTTATTCATTCATTCATTTATTCATTCATTCATTCATTCATTCATTTATTCATTTATATATTTATTTACTCAGTATATGATAACAACAAAAACAGTTGTAAGAACGCAATATTCCATCAAGTACATTTAAGATTAATATTGATGTACAATAAATGTACTTGTGAAAACACCTTGATTTGTTTAAAAACAAACATGTGTAACAAACTGGGTTGTTGGAACAAATTTTCACGCTATATCCTTTCAATTTGTAATAAATGTTATTGTGAAAAAACCTGACACATGAGATTCCGTCAAGCACACCAAAATTTGTTAAAAAAAATAATTGTTACAATCTGACACGCAAAATACCGTCAAATACGTTCAGATTTGTTACGAAAATAGCTGTTACAAATTTCGTTGTTGTAACAAATTAGCACGCCTACAAACGTCTCGTTTTATTTTCAAACATTATTTGTTAAACACGTGGCCTTAGATTTTAAAAAAGGCATGAAAACAAAGGTAATGTATTGTGACATGCGAGATGTAATTGACTGGTCGCATCCGTCACTTTGGCTAAGAGTTATGAAAATAATTATTTTTCATTTCTAACAAACCTAGAATGTTTGAAAGAAATCAGTAGGTTGTATCACCATAGATAAATTAACATGACAACAATGATTTTATAATGTAAGTGAGCGTTTAGCGTCAGTCTGAATTGTTTCTTTTATGCCGCATCTTGTACGATATTTTTCACCATTAGTTCTCCCTCATGATCGTTTACGTTTCTGAATATCATTAAAAGGCATCAGGGAGTTTGAAGATAGTCTTGTTGACACACCAGTTGGTTTTTTAATCTTACCATAAGATGGTAGACTATGTGACTGAACAAGTATATCTCGTATGAGTTAGGAGCTGCCTTCAGTGCAAGGTCGGTAGAGATGTCTGTATACAATTGTATACCGACCGTTTCCTATTGATCCAGGAAAGACGTGATAATTTGTAGAGCTGCGTGGGATCTGAAATTGGTGATGTTAATTACCATGTAGGTTAATGTCATAGCTGGCTAAATTACTGAAATTTTAGACAACCGCATGCAAGACAAAGGTTACTTTCTATCTGTAATCATGAGAGATCCAAATCTGGGATTCAATCATTTGTTAAATGGCTGGTAAAACTATAAGGACGAAGTTAAAATCTGTCGGCCATTTTATGGGTGAAGTGACTCGGATATCTAATGGAGCTGCAATATTCTAAGTAATGGCGAACCTATGTTTTTACAAGATCTTTTTTTTAAGTGGATGATTTTGTGTTTCCCATCGTTAACACGATATGTATCATTTAAAAATACAACACCTATTGATTAAATTATTCTGATATGAATGAAACTCAAATAATGTTAAACGAAATAAAATATAAAGTATTCTGAGGGATCAGCATTCAGACAAGGACAGAAGAAAACCAAGTATTCCGGAACGACTGTTCAAATGACAGAAAATGCTCTGAAGATTACTGATCGAAGACAGCGAAGTCTACGGTAGAAAGACACGACACTGTCGTTTATAGCGCATTACTTAAAGCCCAGATGGAAAAAAGATTTTATAAAGACAAATGGTCGGACACTCGTATAACCCGCTACTTTGCTGAAAATGACTGTTCTAGAGGGCGATTGAATCCATACTTAAGCCCTATTTAGATATATGTGTGCACCGAACCGTGTTATTACTGGCTAACATCGGAAATAGAAACATCAGGATACTAGTTTGTAACATCATAATCTCGGGCCCCAACTCGGTTGAGATGTTGTTAAACATTGTTAGCTCTTCGTCAGATATAACCAAGCCCTACAGTTATAAATGATACAGTATCAATTTTTCATTTTGCTTCAATTTAAAATTGCTCTGTCCGATCCTCATATCAATAAAACGTGTATTTCGATGACCTAGGGTTAACAGTATTGTATGCTCTCACTTAATATGTGTATGTCATTGAAATAACGTTAAAATCACACGATCAAATAGAATATTCTGATGCAGGTTGGCAACCTTTCATCACCATTAAGTCTTGTATAAGACACAGAATTCATATAGTCAATCCTTTTGCTTTCATTGATTCTTGGATCTTTGGTAAACATAAAAAATACACATATGAACAATATCTCCCAATTCAAATCTAGAATTAGATACGGTATAATCAAAGATTAAAAAAATAAGCTGCTTCTTACAGCTGAGACAAATGCATAAACATACAACCACAAATCGTGTTAATTTAACAGACCAGTATTGGGGTTACACAACATTAATATCCCGCTTAGTGGACTGCATGAACCATCTTCAATCCATTAAAACACTCAACATGGACAATTTATCGTCCTGATCACCGCGGCAAACGTCTTCAATCTCCACAGTCAACAAGCGCGGTATAATGTTGTTTACCAAAGCATACCGGTAATTATTGTTCTCCATATGTCAAACAACTTGATTATTATCAAGAAGTAAGGAAGGAGAATAATAATTGACGTATTTGTAAGATCGCGGAAGGGTGAAATAGATTTCCTTGTTAATTTCCCGTCCCATATTGTTATGTGTGTTATTGATTTTTCCAACTCATTATGACCACAGTTAAGGGTAATAGGACAAGGGCAACCAAAAACGAAAACACCTACATGTCAACATCACTTTAAATCAAAGTAAAATTGGATGAAACTAAAGCAAGTGAGATATAATGGAATTAATTTAACAGTATAGGAGAGGATAGAGCTCCTCTGCATTGGACTAAAAACGAAACAATTGTATATAATTATATTAAATTTCGTTGTTGCTTAAATTTGCTCTATAATAACAATACAGATCTTCATTTTGTCAAATTTTATCTATATCGGTCCTAAAGATATCTATATTTGTAGAGGATACAACGTCTTTCAAAACGTTGTCCAATGAAAGGAAAAATAGTCTCTCCTCAAGAGTGTTGATGACGGATATCGATTTTTTTTGTTGGGGTGGGGATAGGGGTAGTTGGGGCCCCATTGGATTGTTTCTCAGATACAATCTCCTATGTGTGAATGTGTTTATATGTTACATTTCTTCAAATTATCGATATTTTCTAGGTCCTTCACCCTTTTATTAAAACGGCGTTATGCACATTCCAGTTTGTCCACATTTTTTAGTTTAAACGTGATCCACATCGTTCCCGAGTATTCTACTTGTGTTCTAACAAGGCATTTGAAGAGTGGTACGAATGTTGCGGTATCTAAAAACTACATCCTAACTAGAAACAAAGAGGAACCATGCCATGTGTTACTGACAGGTAACCGTCTGATGCCTTATCGAAGACAAATGTAAAAAGTCAATACAAGTAATATCATGTTATCCAACATCGAACACTTTCAATCAAACAAATTAAAAAAAAAAATAATAATGTACTGGTGTTCTGGCCGGGTAGTTCAGATTGTATTTGCGTTCATTTTGGTGTCCAAGAAAGGGTTTCTTTTCCATCGAACCAGTTATGTTTACCAATGTCGAGTATTAAACCAAGGAGCCTTGTAAAATAATCTACAAAATACTGAATTCCTGTGATGGAAAAAAGAAATTAAGAAATGGAGATTTTTATCTTGGATGGAAAACCTTCGTGTACTGTTAAGAATTGGGTTTTATTAGTGTTCCATCGGAGGTTAGTTAAACATGGAAAAATTCCTACAGAAAATATTCATGTAGGTTTAAACAAGAGAATACACCACGTACCATAGAGAAATAATCAATATGTGCCTTATTTGAACCAAACCTTGTGTTAACTTTTGATATACAAAATTTCTCTCGGGAGAAATGTATGATTAATTTTCAATTGTGACATTGGAATTAATGATATTTAAGATGCTGACGAAGATTTAAACTTCGGCGTTAACGAGAAAAATACACAGTACCGAACAACCTTAGGAATGTCACAGAAAGTAAGATAACAATGTGCATTAAAATACCTATTACTAAAGTACTTTTAAAGTTCCGTTACTGGTTCATCTATCACGCATTTATGAGCTTAAAGGCATTACAGACATTAATATAAATTTCGCTTCTTACAGGCGTGAAAATGGTAACGGATCAAGTAAATTGTGGTTGGCTGAAAGGTACGTCCCAGATAAGTACGAAAAGAAATTTTTCTTGGTCGTTCTGATTCTCCGAATTATCAATTATGTGTAGTTATTTGATGGGTCCTCATAAATCTAGAAACAGCATCCATTAACTGGACAGCTCTATATTAAGTACACTTGGTCTAATTTCCTATTTCCATTTCAGAGAAAATGGAGGTGCTTCGACGTTGGAGAGTTCCAATGTATCAACAAGACATCGAGTTAACCACCCATTAATTCTGACTACGGAAATTAATTTCTAGACTTGCGCACAGCATAAGTCGTTTTATCCAGTGAACTGTCACCTTATCTCGCGCACACTTATTGACAGCAATTCATGGACATACGTGGCGTTTGAAGTTCTGTTTTACCCAAAAACATGTCCATGATAATGAGACGTTTTGGGAATATAAGGATGTATTAAATATTGCTTGATTCATACACAGATCAATTTTTAGCCGTAGTCATACAGCAGGAAAATGGAAAATACATCTGCTCAAGGGTTGCTTGGCAATGGGAGTCTTCATATCAACGAAAGAAACGAACAGTTAGCTCAAGCAGAAATAGGAGTGTCTTCAGCAATTTTCATTTTGGCGGTTTTTGGGAATTCCACTGTTTTCGTTGTATTTCTTCTGCGTGGCCGGAGACTTACACGTATGCATCTGTTAATGCTACATTTAAGTGCCGCAGACCTCTCTGTGGCGTTCTTTAATGTGTTACCGCAGCTCATCTGGGATGTGACGTATGTTTTCTATGGAAATGACGTCATATGTCGCTTTGTGAAATACTTCCAGCTCGTCGTTGTGTATGCCTCTGCGTATGTGCTTGTGATGACCGCCATTGACCGGTACTTCGCCATATGTCGTCCTCTGGTTAGTCACCAATGGTCGTCACGGACTGTCCACTATATGGTTGCTGTAGCCTGGATGATATCATTCATTCTTAGTCTTCCACAAATTTACATATTTTCTTATATGGAACGACAACCGAATGTGTTCGACTGTTGGGCTACATTTAACCCATCTTGGACTTTGGAACTTTATATAACGTTTAATTCAGTGACTGTATATATCATTCCGACTATGATTTTGACCTTTTGTTACGGACGAATGTGCTACTCTGTCTGGAAACGAGGCAGGGTTGGAGAACAAGTGGTTTCCTCAACAAAAGTTCAATGGAATCAATCGAATATGTCGGAGAGAGATGTTTCTAATAACAGCCATTATCAAGCCGGGAAGGCAGACAAACATCAGGGAAATTTTCAATTCGGAAATAGTGGTACATCCGACATCCGAAGTCGCCATGGGCAGCACAGAGGGGCCATACCACGTGCAAAGGTGCGCACGGTCCAACTTACACTCACAGTGGTGTTTTGTTTCTTTGTGTGTAGTTCTCCGTTTCACTTCGCTCAGCTGTGGGCAGCGTTTGACCCGAACGCACCTTTCACTAGTAAGTACAAAACACCGAATATTTCTTCCGAAGGTTTTGAGTGGTCTAGACGAGGACCTGTATTAGTTGTTTTTTTTTCACTTTAATCGCTTGTCAACTTCTCGACTCGACATTCGATTTACTAACACTACATGTTGAAAAAAGGTAATCAATCAGTCCCATATGTACCGTAACACAGTATTATTAAGTTCATTTTCGTATAAATACAGCCTTGACCTACTCTCAAGACAAGTGTTGTTACAAAATGCGTTTGAAAACACGCAAACGATCATATAAATTAATCATATTGAGGTCAAACGTCACCTGAGTTTGCTGGTTGCACTCTGAACATTTGATACTAGAAAGTCGACATTACATATACATTGTATACTTTCATAAGCTATATATTCTAATTGTTTTCGAATTCCTTGGAATCTATCAATTACAAGCATTTCCATAGATATAAGTCTAGTAAAACCCATCGTTCACCTGGTCTGAATGACCTTATTGATGTTATGACACATAGTTTATAGGCTGTTTTTTTAACGAAACAGTGGTGTTAAATACGTCTTATCCCAGCATCTAAGATCCTTTGCATTTTTCAAAAATATTTCGTTTGTTATCCATCAAAGTGATACAAATAAAACACGGTTAGATTTGATTTGGTTTGTAGGCATAACTTGCGATTAAAGTCCTTTGGTTTAAAACTTTGAAACCTAAGAAAATGTATTAATATCATTGTGAATAAAATACTTTGAAGTGGAAGCTGGGATCTCCAGATGAATGATACAGGTCCCATGGGCCTCTTGGACACTACAAACGGTGGAATGTTAATTGTGTACTTTTTTTGTCACAGGTTCCGCCTATACCATTATCCTGCTACTGTACAGTCTCAACAGTTGTACGAACCCTTGGATCTACCTCATTTTCAGTTCCCGGATGTGGGAATCTGTCAAGTCGTGCTCAAGACTGAACATGCGGAAACGCAAACAAAAAAGCATTCCGTCATGGCCAACAGATTCCACGCTGTCTTAATCCATTAACCTGTACAAATCATTCGCAGAAGTACCACATGACATTAAGGGTGTACAAATATGATGTTCAGGTAAAATTGTATAATAAGAAAATGGTATTTCTAGATCAAAGGATATTTCAGGCACAAATCTTACCGACAAAGAAGATATATGTTGGGAGAGCTATAGACCTTCAGAACCTCTATATCTATACGGTCACATCTCGTTTGTATCTCTCCAAAATCTACTAAACATAATTGTTAAAGAAATACCGACACATTCAATGTCTAGCTTAATTTTGATAATGTTGTAAATTCAACATTTCAATAAATTTTGAAGGATATGTCAATGTTTATGGTGTATTTAACTTACAGTGTCTAATGTGGTCTGCCACACGGAACAATTCCCATCTATGCTTTAAAGTGTTCAAATATACTAATGAAAAACAAACACATTGTGAAAGTTACCAAACGAAAGGAATCACCGCCATTTCAAGTGACACCAATTGAATAGTTCATAATAAAATAATTTTGATAAAAGTTGTTCTATCTTATTGGTAAAGTAAACTCGACGTCTATAGATATACTTAATAAAAAATAAAGTGTAATCCTACTGAATGGCACAATTGATAGATTATTCCCTTTAAAAATCTGATCAATCACGTAGGACCTAAGTGATTTATCAATTTGGATTTAAAACGCGGGCATGGGTAATTTCGGGACAGTGAATGATTCGAGGAGAGTTGTTTCTCTCACCGTTTGTGAGGCTTGGGTCAGCTCCTGCAAACATGAAGGCTGGCTTTGGCATCCTTTCACGTGTTGCCAAAAAACATCCTAAACATGTTCAACTGGGGACAAATCATGGCGTCTTTACGATTAGCTTATTATTTCGTCTCGATATCGAATATCGGCTAACTTGTCGATCACAACAAGTCTGGTACAATTCCCTTCACAAACACCATCCAAAAACATTATATTTTTATAGGCGATAGCGGACTGTTTTGGCAAACACATGCCACTCAAACAATGCACAGGTCGTTTCTATTGCGGTTACGAATCGATTTCACAACTGTCATCCCTTGTGGTCATCTTGTGGAATCAGTCGCTACTGGGACGATATTTTTATTTAGATAATTAAACAATTGGTATCTTCTCAACATTGAAGCCAAAATGCTGATCCGTTCGACGCCAAGACTCTCCAGTTTTGATCATGCTTACACAACATGTTTCCTTTGTAGTTGTTACAGGGCAAAATGTCCAAGTTGATCAATAGCATGATTTGGTGAATGTCCAGCCAGTGTGTAAGGAGCAAGTATCAGTTTTATTTGTTTTCTGAAATTCAAGCGAAGATGCAAGCGAGTCACACATAAACCTCGTTGAGCTCTTCCATTAATACAGACTTTCAAACTTGAATTAATCGCCCTCTTTGGATTTTGTGGTGAAAACTACTGCCATTTGTAAAAATATCCTTTTGTGTTCACCCATGTACGGGTATTCGCCAAGGAGGCCTGCAGCATATCCGTTTTATTGAGTATAAATGTATGACGTTATGATCATCTAAAATGAACATTTATATTTATTGTTGTCATCCACTTATTGGAACAGGCACAAGTGGAACGTTTCGCTGCACGAAAGAAGGCTTATTCAACTTGGAATTATTATTTACTATTGTGGAGACACAAGAACTCGCAAATTCGCAAGGAAATGGTTTATACAATTATGGACAATAGTGCTCGACTGTTTGTTAGAGTTAAGGAATGCAAATTTTGAATGCCGATTGGTTAGAATAGATTATTATAGAAAGGATATGACTAATTCGAAACATCTACAATGAGCTTGTAAACTTTCTTTTAGCAATAGTATTAATTTTACCCGGTATATTTTCAATAGCCGGTGTGACAGGGTATATGTGTACCGTCTGTCCTCAGTCCGTCGTATCATTTGACTTGTTCTCACAGGTTTTTGATTTGGTGGACTTTATGACAAGGAAAACGTGGGGTTTATTTCTTGAAGGATATTTTTCGACTGCGCTCAGAAGGATTATAACTCAACATTTTTCAATAATCTTGAATATCACAAGATCTAAATTCTTCCATAATTTTTTAATTTGTCCCGAGATCTAAGTTCTCCAATTAATCAATATTGAAATCCTTTATGACTATATCATTGAATAGCGTTTTCCTGGAAAAACCGTCTTTATAACAGCTTTTAAAATTGTTATTACCCTTTGTTTTTGTTTTCCTTTTCAACACTGACTTTTTTTTTTTTTTTTTTTAGTTTAAACATATTTCATCGTCGTAGAACTGACACGGAGATCAGGCACAAATAATTGCAACATCTAAAACGCCTACTCGTTAAAATTGCTTTCCATGTATTGGTTTTGTTTCATTCCAAGATCAGTATACATTTCAATACACTTATGTATACCTCTTTGGTATGGGTCTAGTGTATATTGTTCCGCTCCGTGGCACATTTTCCACTGTTGTTATTCCTAAATACTGTTATAGACAGTAATATAATGTAAATAGAAACAGTTTTTTTAAAAAGAAATTTGTTTTATTAACTCGTTTTCCAAACATTTTTTTTTCTTAGAACATTGATCACTGACAGTATGTGCGATCAAATACCTTCTGGCGTTTACTTGCAAGTGCATAGCTTTTTTGAGAAATCCTGATGTGGGTGGATAACAGATACACATAAGTATTGTTGACCATTATAAGGTACTATGTAATTATTATAGGTGACTTTGTAATTATTATAGATGACTATGTAATTATTATAGGTGACTATGTAATTATTATAGGTACTATGTAATTATCATAGGTACTATGTAATTATCATAGATGACTATGTAATTATTATAGGTGACTATGTAATTATTATAGGTACTATGTTATTATTATAGGTGCTATGTAATTATTATAGGTGACTATGTAATTATTTTGGGTACTATGTAATTATTATGGGTACAATGTATTATATTATATTTACTATGTAATTATTATAGGTGACTATGTAATTATTATAGGTACTATGTAATTATTATGGGTGCTATGTAATTATTATAGGTACTATGTAATTATTATAGGTACTATGTAATTATTATATTATTATATTTACTATGTAATTATTATAGGTGACTATGTAATTATTTTGGGTACTATGTAATTACTATAGGTGACTATGTAATTATTTTGGGTACTATGTAATTATTATGGGTACTATGTAATTATTATAGGTGACTATGTAATTATTATAGGTGACTATGTAATTATCATAGGTGACTATGTAATTATTATAGGTGACTATGTAATTATTATAGGTGACTATGTAATTATTATGGGTACTATGTAATTATTTTGGGTACTATGTAATTATTATGGGTACAATGTAATTATTATATTTACTATGTAATTATTATAGGTGACTATGTAATTATTTTGGGTACTATGTAATTATTATAGGTACTATGTAATTATCATAGGTGACTATGTAATTACTACTATGTAATTATTATAGGTGACTATGGAATTATTATATTTACTATGTAATTACTATAGGTGACTATGTAATTATTATAGCTGATTATGTAATTACTATAGCTGATTATGTAATTACTATAGGTGACTATGGAATTATTATAGGTGAATATGGAATTATAATAAACTTTATACGATGATTTTAAAGTCTAAATCACAGCGTTCTAAAGTTATGATGTTTGATGTTCGTACAATTGAAAACTAGAGATGATTTCATGTTTATTCCATTGTCTTCTCTCTGTTTTATAGCAATTTTGAAGTTTTGAAGTTAGTTAATAAATGTTATATATGCGCTTATCTTTTATTTGTTTTTAATCTACTCCACAATACGGGTTGTAATTGTCGTTTTTATTACATGATGTTGCGGAGTCTACCATTTATACTTAACATCGATTGTCAAAAACTATCAGACCTTGTTACAAAACATGCTATGGAAATGGTGCTCCCTACATCTCAAATTATGAGTTTTCATACGCCTGACAAATATTTTGACGTGTTGTTGGATGTTAATGTACGTTCATCATGTTCAAGGTTTAATTTGACTTGTCCAAAGATGTCTCACAGTTTGCTTCTTCAAATATGCCAAGGCTACATATACCATTATGTGGTTTTATGCTTACAGGCATAACGTGGTGGTATCAGGAAATTAATTTTAGAGTTGTCGCAGATGACTGACAGGTAATGACTGAGTCAATTGAAGCACGCGACCTCGAGGTAGGTTCGATAGCAAAGCTTAACAAAATGAAATTGGTTCAATATGCAGATAAAAAGTAAATTCCAAGGTTATTCATTTCAGTTCAACTAACAGACGTTTAAACGCGAATCAATCATGAAAGGAACTGTTGCAGCTGAACAGGGATTTTGTCCCTCAGAGGGTAATCATAAAATATGAATGATTTGTCAAAATGATTAATTTCTCATAACTGAACACCATCTTAAATAGTTTTTGCATTAGGCCTACGGGTGTCGCCTCAATCAATAGCGTATTCCAAATGTTAGACTGACCCATAAATATCCGCAAATAACTTCAACGAGAATGTTGACAATTTTAACACTTCTTAGAGTTTTTTTTCATTTAAAAAAATAAAGAATCTATATAAAATATAAACATGTGTACCATTTCAATGTAAAAAAAATTGAGAACAATTCAGAATAGAAAGACTACTCCATCTGCTAATTTGTTCTATGCCTTAAAAAACATCTTTACTAAGATTACAAACAAATGCTCCAAAATTTTGCCTAGCTAACTCCGTGAGCGAATTTTCAATGGAAACATACATTTATCCCCGTTTTTTGTTTTGAATATCAAAGTACTGAAAAATGTTTACAGGATTTAACTCACACTAGATTTTTTTTAAATGTCTATTATGTTTTCTTAAGAACATCTTTGTTAATGTTTTCGCGAATTATGAAATATTTTTTCCAGGCATTATTAAAATAAGATATTATGTGTATACATATCCCCTTAACGTTAAAACCTGCAT